GTTATGTGGCGGTGACTTCATTTAGTCACGCCAATTAAGACACGGATTTAGTCACGGCGGATGACCGTGACTAACCTTTTTAGTCACGGAATTTTTACACTGTAGTCCGAGACTAAATCCGTGACTACGCCCGTGTTTTTTTGTAGTGAGGAGCTAAACTTAGCACACATAAAGATATTTGGTTGTACTATTTATGTACGTATTGCTCCACCTCATCATACTAAAATAGATTCTCAAACAAGGTTGGGAATTGATGTTGGATTTGAATCTCCCTCAATAATAAATATCTTGAACCGATGACTCATGACTTATTCATTGCACGGTTTACAGAGTGTCATTTCAATGAGACAATATTCCCGACCTTGGGAGGAGAAAATAATAAAATAGATCCAAGTTCGAAAAAGATAACATAGAATGTAACAGGATTATCACATTTTGACTCAAGAACAAATATTTGTGAGCAAGAAGTGTAAAAGATAATCCATTTACAAATGTTGCAAATTAGTTGCCTAATGCATTCACAGATTCAAAGAAAGTGAAAATGTCACATAATCCTGTTACCAATGCCCCTTCTAGAATCAAAATTCCAGTAGAGAATTCCGAAAAATCTCTTGCAAATGATTCTTCTATACGCTAAAAGCGAGACATACCACTTGATTCAAAAGACATAAACTCAAGAGAAATTAAAAGACATGAATTGATCTATGATGCCAAAGATGTCCATCCTTCTGAACAAGAAAATGAACCATTTGAAAATCCTGGCATAGAAAACGAAGATATTCCAGATAATGATAGAAACGTTGATCATTATGAAATTTCATTAAACTATGTTTCTACTAGAATGCAATAGAATAAAAAATATGTCGCTATTATGGAGATATTTGTCTATGACGTTACCACGAGTGTCATGAACAAAAGCAATGACAATGAGCCTCTGGAGATTACACGATTGGCCGAAATGGAATGAAGCAATTTAGGCAGAACTAAAATTGCTTGAAAAATGCGATGTTTTTGGACCAATAGTCCATACGCCAAATGGCGTAAACCAATGATTTTTAAATGAGTATTTGTGCACAAACACAATGACAAAAATGAAACAGTAAGATATCAAGCCCGACTTGTTGCCCAAGGTTTTTCTCAAATGCCGAGAATTGATTATAAAGAAACTTATTCTGCAGTAGTTGATGTAACTACATTAAGATTTCTCATTGGCATGTCTATATTCAAAAGGCTACAAATGCGCCGAATGGATGTGTTGACTTCATATTTATAAGGTTCACACAATACAGACATTTATATATGAAAGTTCCTGGTGGATTTAAAATGCGTACAAGCTTATAACTCGAAAGTTCGAGACATGTTTTCTATTAAATTACCAAAGTCATTGTACGGACTAAAACAATCTGGATGACTGTGATATAATCATCTTAGTGAATATCTTCCTATAGAAGGATACAAAAATGATCCAAATAGTCCATGTGCTTTCGTCGGTGATCAAACTCAGGATTTTTCATAATTGCAGTGTATGTCGATGATTTAAACATTATTGAAACTCCCATTGAAATAGAAAATACTGCAAAAAAACCTTATGAGAGAATTTGAAGTGAAAGGATCTTGAGAAAACCAAATTTTGTCTCGGGCTTCAAATTGAGCATTTGAAGAGTGAAATTTTTATTTATCAATCCAATTACACCGAGAAAGTTTTAAACAGGTTCTATATGGACAAATCTCGTCTTTTTACTTCACCAATGGTGGTCCCTTCTCTTTTTTTGGATGAAAGGTAAGTATATATCAAAATCACCCAAAAATAACATAATACAATGTATCAAAAACTATCTAAGCTAGCTAAACTAGGCAAAAATAGTATCTAACGTTCACCCCCCCCCCCCAAACTTGCGGCAAGGGGTAGGAGAGAATTTAAAAACGTCCAAAACATCCCACAAGTCCAAACTATCACGGGAGACGCCCCGGCTTAGTATAAAAACAAATCAATAGTTCAAAATAAACTGCTTGCCATCCACATTGTTCCATGGGATCCAAATCAGTTAAGGCCCGTCACCCATTTTCCAAAGCTCTAGCAGCCCAGCACCTTGCAAAGCAGGCAGTCAACAGATCACCAAGTCAAATGTAGTTCTAGATCCAAACTAGTGAAGGTCCATCACTAGGCCCGCACAAAACCAAAGCCCAATCCAGGCATCAAGTAATTCACGGAATTCCCAGCACAACGAACGGGCCAAGAGCTAGGGTTTCGACCGATCAGCCCAATCTCCAGCCTAGCATCGCTAACCCATATGCGCCGTAGCTTAGGTGACAGCCTGGCCAATCTCTGACCAGCCAGCTATCCAACGGTCAAACGCCGCCCTAATCACCCCCAACCACCCAACCCAGTGCCGGTGTCCACCAAGCAGTCTGGTACCCGGAGAAGCATAGCAATGTAACTAACCGGAGAAGAACCCTGCCATACCAATACTCCACCCTCCACCTCCCATCCTCGTTAGTCCCCGGTGACCCCCAACGGCATCGATGGGCAGTAGCCGGCAAAGCAATGCTCAACCAAGACCCACCTTTATCCCTTCAATGGTGATGGCAAACCGGCGACATCCCGGTGACGACCCAAAACCAAACCGCCACAATCAACCAATCCATTATTCGGTTCCGGTGGGTCCTAATATCGAACCAAATGTAACCGGTATAGGAAGCCATCCACAGTCAAAGCAGTTCAATCCAAAAAGTCAAACAAGAATCAAACCACGAACCAGACTTCAGGGATAGAACATAACTAGTAGTCGGAGAAGGGAAGCCAACCTGAGACTAAAATCCTATTCAGCGACTACCGGAATAAAAGCAGGTCAGGGCATCAAACTCCGAACTCCGGTGACTACGACTCCACCTCCTAAGCCTTGGCCAAGCATAGGGGTTGTACCGCGTAGTGAAAAGTGGAGGCACCGTGAAATCTGCACCAGAACCCCTTCACCCTGTGCTGCCACGAAGAGACGGCCACCACCCAAAAGATGAAACCCGCTGGAGAACATGGCAGCTCCGAACTCCGGTAGGTCCCAAATCACCCTCAGGATAAAAAACCTTATCAACCACCGACGTGACCCACCACCCGTGCATCGTCCAAAGCTTAAATCTCAACCCAAACCCAACGTCGTGTCCATAGACAGAGAAGCTGCGACGCTAGAGGTTTTCACCCGGGTTGTAGAGCGGCAAGGGAAAGAAAGGGAAACGTACCACGAAAACCATCGTTTGGTTAGTAAACTGGCAAGACAGGCCCCAAGGCAGTCACCTCCTCCGATTTCTAGCTTTGTCAACCCTTAGATATGCTTCGCCCAAAGCAAAGCAGGCATCCCCAAATCCATACATTAAACCGTCATGAACATAGACAACCCCTAGAGTTCCAAAGATGAACTTGAGGCCCGACGGCGGTGGCCACTGTAAGTGGTGGTGCCGACCTGAGAAAATCCGGTGAGGGGAAGAGTCTAGCCGTGAATGGCTAGAGAGAGACGCTCTCAACTTCTCCCGCGAATTTCATGGGGGTCTCTTCTCTCAACATACACGATGATCCATTTCATCCCTGAGAAAACAACGAAGAAATACTCAGCCCCAAAGTACCATACCTAAGTGCTATTGGAATTTTAATGTATTTGGCTAATAATACTAGATCAGATATTGCATTTTCTGTAAATTTATTAGCTAGGTACAGTTCATGTCCAATAAGGCGTCATTGGAATGGGATCGAACACATACTACCTCCGTCTCGGTGGACTTTGCCAAGTGCAAAGTAGGTGAGAAATAAGAATAATAAAAACTGTGTGGTTGAGATTTGTGCAGAGGAGAGAGAAATGTGCAGAACCACAAATTAGTTACTTTTATAGGAAAGTGACAAAGTTTTTTTGCACGACCAAAAAGGGAAAGTTGGCAAAGTCCAATGGGACGGAGGGAGTATTATATTATCTCCGTGGAACAGTTGATCTCGGATTATTCTACCACAACTATGCAAAAGCCATTTTAACAGGATATGAAGACTACCTATAAGATCCTCAAAAGGCGAAATCACAAGCCGAATACGTATTTACTTATGGAGATATATGAATCAGACATTGATAGCTACATCATTGAATCATTTTTAGTTAATTGCATTATATGAAATTGGGAGAAAATGTGTGTGGCTGCGATCTATGATTCAAAACATGCAAAATGAATGCAGCATGAATCTTATTACATTTCAACCTACTTTGATCTATAAAGACAACACTGCGTGTATAGCTCAGACCAAAGAAGACTGCATCAAAGGAGCTAGAACAAAGCACATATGACCAAAGTTTTTCTCTACTCAAGATCTTGAGAAAGAAGGAAAGATCAATATTCAACAAATCAGATTCAGTGAAAATTCGGCCCATATTTCACCAAATCTTTTCCCTAAAGAAGTTGATAGAACTTGTATTGAGAATCCGTTTGCGCCATCTACAAAATTTATGCTAAATTTAGGGGTATTTGAATACATTGTACTTTTTTTTCCGGGAAAAGGGGCAAATAAGTCCTCGAACTAACCAAAAAAGGTCAAATAAGCCCTTATTTAGGAGGCTCTGTCCGGCCATCGTCGTTTGGGGAGGTTTTTGATGGAAATTTTTGATGAAATTTTGTGACAATCTTCTTCATTAAATCTAGTTTATCCATACCAAATTTCAGCTAAAAATTCAACCGGGAAGGCAGTCAAATGAGTTTCTGAAATATATTGCGATGTTTAACTGCACAGTTATCGTCAAAAAATCATTTGACTGTCTTCCCGGCTGAATTTTTAGCTGAAATTTGGTATGAATAAACTAGACTTAATGGAGAAGATGATCAAAAAATTTCATCAAAAAATTCCACCGGGAACCTCCCCAAACGACGATGACCGGACAGAGCCTCCTATATAAGGGCTTATTTGACCTTTTTTGGTTAGTTCGAGGGCTTATTTGCCCCTTTTCCCTTTTTTTCCTTCATCACGTTTTGCTCTTTTCCCTTTTTTTCCTTCATCACGTTTTGCTCTTAACTTTGATTTTTCACACTAAATCTGTAACATAACAAATATAACTTGTGAATTGTTCTGGAAACGAGAATGTGAATTGTTCTTGACTTCTTGTCATCATCCATCCAGAAATTAGGTTTCATCCTTCATCAAAAGAATCAAATTGACCATTTGTGTGCCTCGCAGAAATGCTGTTTCGTTTAGACAAGAATCCCTTATTCATTATGAACTAGTTCTCGTGTCCTTTCTGATTCTCGCCTAGGGTCTACACTCTGCAGTTTCTTGGATGGGTATGGCTTCAACTTCTCATTATTCGTTTTCATGTTCAAATTCAGTATTTGCACTGAACCATTTTTACCCGAGACTCCACTGCGGCAGATTATGGGAAACCTCCATTTCGAACAGCCCAATTCATGTCAATTACAAAGAATTGGACTTGCAGCCAGTTTTGGCCATCAGCAGGGCCGAAAAAGTGGGAGAAATTGAAAGTGAAGAAAAATCAAAGTTTCAATGGGTTGAAATAGGTCCTGATATTTCAAATAAACAAAAACAAACACTTTCTCAGCTGCCACTAAAGATGACAAATAGATGCAAGGCTTTAATGAAACAACTCATATGCTATTCACCTGAAAGAGGCAGTGTAGCACTACTGTTGGGTGACTGGGTGAAAAGTATGAAGCCCAAGAGAGCTGACTGGCTAGTAGTTCTCAAAGAATTGGATAGGCTGAATAGTCCATTGTATCTTGAGGTATGAAGGTTTTTCCTGTTTGGCCTAGCAGTATATTTTTTATTTGTCCATTCAATGGATGTTTGTTTTTTTAGTTGTCAATTCTGCTCTTTTATGTTGTAAATTAACCAAACCTTATTTCCCCTCTATCACATGTCTGCAGATATAAACCGTAAAAGGCATTAACCAGACATTGTTTTCCTTTTATAATAGAAGGTAGAATAGGTATTTGAGTGTTCGAGTTAAGAAAAGTGAGCCTTTGAAATTTACTTTCCAAGCAGCATTGAGCACCAAAAAAAATTATGATTCCTCAATATAAGTTTGTACTCAATTCATTTTAAATTTCATAATGGTTTTTCCATTTTATTTTGGTGTATAATTGATTATCAAACCCTGTAGAGGGAGTAACTCAACGCTTGGACGTTGGTTTGTATCAAAATATATGATGGTATTTGGTTTATATATTTATATACGATGGTGGCTCGTTGAAGTAGGCCTAACATGAAATCTTTTGAGATATACTCAGATATATGGCTTGAGTATAAGTTTGATGCTGGTTTTGCTCGTTTAAATATTATAGGATCTGTGATTTATCCTTAAGCCTTATAGGTACACTGGCCCGAAGGCTTGTATGTTGGTTTCATATCATGATATGTAACTGTTGTTGAATTACTTTAAGTGGCTTATTCAATGCCTATAAGAAGTACTTCATTTTCAACATTTTGTGTGCTATTATTTTTAGCTTTATGTGTTGTTATATATCTTTATATTTGACTGGTGTGGTATGACTTAACCATATATGTAGGTTTGTATTTTTATACGCCATATTTGATTGTAATGGAATGACTTATAATAATTCAACAAATATGTTTTTGCCTATCTCGTAGGTGGCTGAGCTTGCCCTAGAAGTGGAATCATTTGAATGCAATATTCGTGACTATACTAAAATCATTCAATGCTATGCAAAAAAAAATCTTGTTCCGGAAGCTGAAAAGATGCTTTTGAGCATGAAAAGCAAAGGCTTCATATATGACCAGGTGGTGCTTACAGCACTAATTCACATGTACAGCAAGGCTGGCAATCATAAGCTGGCAGAAGATACCTTTGAAAAGTTGCTGCTGCTTGGACACCCATTGGACAGAAGATCCTACGGGTCAATGATTATGGCCTACATTAGAGCTGGAGAGCTCAGTAAAGCCGAGGGGTTAGTTAGGGAAATGGAGGACAAAGACATTTACGCAGGAAGTGAAGTTTATAAAGCACTGTTGAGAGCCTACTCCATGGCAGGCGACACAAAAGGAGCTGAAAGTGTTTTCAATGCGCTGCAATTAGCGGGTGTCATCCCGGACGCAAAGATCTGTGGGTTAGTGGTGAATGCTTATCTTGTGGCAGGTCAACTATCTGAGGCTTATATTGCTTTTCAAAATATGAGGATGGCAGGAATCGAACCGAATGAAAAATGTGTGGCATTGATGTTGGGTGCATATGAAAAGGAGAATGACCTAAACGAGGCACTAGGCCTCTTAATTGATTTGGAGAAGGGAGGTGTTATGCTTGGGGAAGAAGCTTCTGGTACATTGGCTCGTTGGTTCAGGAGGCTTGGGGTGATTAAAGAAGTGGATCTTGTCTTGCAAGAATATATAAATAATGGGAAACAGACAGAGAAGCTTATGTCTTCTTTTGCTTCTGCTCGGTAAATTAATATCAGCTCCTTGTTACTAATTGTGATAGATAAAAGTTCTGTCTTTTTTTCCATGAACGTGGGATGTATAGGTTTTTCTTTTCTTAATTTTGAAGTTGTTTGTTTTAAATGTTCCTCCTCTTAAGGACATTCATAATGGTGGGTGTGAAGTTTCACTTTTGGAACATACACTCGATACCCATTCTAAAACAACACCCGTTTAGCACAATAAAACAAAAGAAAAAGGCAAATAAAAGTTCTTGGGTGAGATATGCGACGTAATCTAAATAAGAATGTGACATCGATTGATCAATGTTCTGAAAGGAACTATAAGTTATTTGATTGATGTCTCATTTATGGGCAAAAAATTTGACACCATTAATATGAATGCTTTAAGGGGTAGGTCGGGTTTCAGTTGAAATCATAGCCTAGACAAAGATCTTGGTTAAGGCTAGTGAGAGTTGATTCTTATTTGTGTATCAAGTTCTATGTCAAGAAACTGCATAGTAATGACAACATATTGTTGAGGGCCTGAGGGTGGATGAATCTTGAGAACATTACTATCTATATTCCCTATTCATCTCTCCAAAGTTATTAAATAGTCATCCTATTTCACTAAAGCAAGTTCTTAAAAATCCATCCTGTTTCCATCAAAACAAAAAGTGTGGTCATTACTTTTCCAATAATTCTACAAAATTGTCACGTTTTTCATTTTCTTCGACTCAGTCCTTGCCAAGTACAACTGAACTTCATGTCTTTTTTGGTATGACTTGAGAGCGGGATCACAAGTATGAGTGAACTGAGTTCCAAAACTGAAATGGATGAGTAAAGAAATGAAACTATTGCCATTTTTTCAGTTTCGGTTCCAATTATTTCCAAATATAACCGGAATCGACTCGCTTTGATTTTATGGTATTCTAAATGTATCTGTTCCAAAAACTGGACAGATGGGTTGGAGAAGTTTATGTCTGGGTCAGTGAAGTTAATAGCGGCGCTATCGCGCGCTATAGCGGTGGTGCGGAGCGGCAGACTGGTCTGGCGCTACAAGATGACCTCTAGCGTTGCGTTTGGGTGAAGCGGCTATGGCGGCCGCAATAGCGGTCGCACGATTGTAGTAAAGGCGGACGCTATAGCGGCGCTATTTCTGGGTTTGATGTCTTCAATCGTTATCTGCGTATAATTTTTTTAGGGCTGAGGTTGAAGGGTAAATTAGTCTTTTTAATATAAATTATTAACCATAAGGAAGACTGCGATGACTTCTCCGCAGACCAAAACCTTACAAACGGCCCATCTTTTGAACTCCGTATCTCGCTGTTTTTGCTCTGGGAAGACTGCGATGACTTCTCCTTCAACGACAACAACCTTTTGATGACTGCTCTTCGCTAGTTTCCACTTCGCCTCTGTAGAATCGCTGCTTCATCTTTTACTTGTGCCGCAACATCTTCTACAAGAAGATCAAACTTTTCTTTGCTAAAGTCTTCTTTTCTTCTTCTCGTTAAGCATGTAGTCTAGTAGTCTACTGCCACTGCCTTGTTTAAGCCCACATTGTTTAAGCCCACAGGATTCTAAATGACATATACATGTCTAAGTAATTTAGAATTTAAACGACAAGACAACCGTTACATGTCCAAGTAATTTAGGATTTATGAATGTTAAGACTTGAGATGTTTGAAAGCTTCATTGGCATTTATCATACTTTTTGAATTTGAAATGTTTATGTAATGTATTATATATGCTTCCAGTAATTACTTATTACTTATGTATTATATTTAAAAGTAGCCTAAATAGCGGTCATCCCTCTATCCGCTATACCGCTATAGCATTTTTGGGGTTAGTCGCTCCGCTCCGCTATCTGGGATTGACAACACTGGTCTGGGTCGTGGGTGATCTAGAGTTTTCTCGAGAAGGGAGGATTGCAGTTTCTGGAATGATGAGTCGAAGTTCAGTACTGTTTGGTTGCTCATCTGCAGAATCTTCAAGATTCCACTCCATAACATATGCACTTGACCTTTGAAGCCATTTTCTTGGACATCCATACACGACAGCCACAGAAGAAGCGGTTTTGTTGTAATCTTTATTCGGTGAGTGGAAACACCAAACCAGAATTTCTATGTACAAATGATGTGAAGTTAAAGATAATATTTTATGCTGTGTAATAAAATTACACAAAAATACTTTTCTATGAATAGGGGCGGGTCGGGGTTGGGACAACTGAGACTGATAGGCTGAAGTGTCCACCTATCTGATGAACTTATAAACATGAATCAAACTTTACCTAGAATGAGCTGTCTGTCTACACTAAAAAACTAACATGAATTTGAAGGCTGATTTGCTCTAACTAGCCATTGTTTTACAGACAAGAATTTCTTTTGTGTGACACAACCATTTTTTTGTTTGTGCGAAAACCGGTTCTCTTCACAAAACGCCAGTCAAATTGTCTGTGTATAGACAATAATTTGACCGGCGTGTAAAATGGCGTGTACATTTTGCTGTGTACAAATAGCATTTTGGAAACACCAATTAGCCAGTTTTGAGAGTATCTTGAAACTCTCTAAGGTTAGAAACTCAGATCAAATGGCACTATGACAGTATGTTACTATGTTCATATGTTGTATGTAAAAGAACTAACAAGGAACAGTTATCAGGATATGCTAGAGTAAAGCTCATTTGCAAATTCCCTCTTTCCATCACCCAATTAAGCATCTTCATGAACAAGTCCAATGCATTGAAACTCAAATTTGTTATTTTGAGTTTCTTTTCTTAACTTTCACGTTAAGGATAAATACATCTAACTAAACACGCTTTTAAAGTCATTAAAGAATCTCGATAGTTTCATATCTGTGAAAATCTAGAAGCTTGACCAGGAACATTCAAATCTACCATCAGTCCAAACTTCAAACTAATTAAAGACATAAACGAGAAGTTACTAGATGAAGTGACTATCTATGAACTGATACTCTGGGCATGTTTGCATCCAAAAGAAAAATACTTGTGATTCATGAGAGTTGATTTCTAATGTTTGAGTTTATGTAAGCAAGTACCAAGGAAAATCAATTTTGTGTAGGGTGTGTTTGCGATTGCTTCTACTTTAAAAAGATGATTCTTTAAAGTGATTTTGGAGAAAGTGTTTAATAGTAAAAGTTAGTATTGTTTCATAAAAATATATAATGCAAAAAAGTAAAAGTTTATAATGTTTGGTAAAAATAAGTGTTTTTTGTGTAATAGAAAAAGTGAATAACACTTTAAAGCACCCTCCACATGCTTTCAACTTGTAGCTTTTATAAGTGCTTAATTTAAAAAGAAATTGTCACTTGAAAACCCTCATTTCAACTTTGTTTAAGCTAAAAGCCGAAAAACACTTTCTTTAATTTTTCCAAACACTTCCATAATAAATTATATTTAGATTTCCGGATGCTTATATATTATAATAATAAAAAACTCCATCCGTCCCATATCAATCCCCTAGGTACACTAATTATGAAGAAGAAGAAAAGTGTTCATATGATTTATATAGAGGAGAAAAATAACATCAACTACATGGTCTTTTCTTTAAAAGGAAAAATGGGATGATTTAGAGACGGGCCAATAAAGAATGCGGATTATGTAGGATTGATGGAGTAATTAATATGTAACTAATAAATAAATGAATAAATAAATAAATATATTGATTAATTAATAAATAAATTCAATATAAATAATTGAATAAAATGAGTTTAATAAAATATCCAAAAAATTATTCACTCCATTGCTACAAAATTTCTACTTTCAATTACTCAAATTTTAAGAAAAATCCCTATTCACCCTTTGACTGCCCATTTTGCCCTTAGAATTACTAGGGGCAAATATTGTGTTAATATCCAAGAAGGATAAATCGGAGAATATGGGAGATTAGAGTCCTCTAACTCTATGGAATGTCGTAGTGTATAATTATTGAGATAACTTAATTCGCTAACTAATTTCATTTCTTTAGCTATTAAGTAATAATAATGACAGGCTGTATATAACAACTTTGTTAGAGTTAGTTAGAAGTGCTTCTATATATATAACAGATAACTCATCATTTGTAAGACTACGATCAATGAATAACAACTCTCTCTGATTCTTCGAATAAGACTTCTTCCTTCTCAGGATTACTTTCTTCTCTTTCTTTCTGCCTAGATTCCATTGTTGCAGGTCTCATGTAAGATTCAACGATGGAAATCACATTGCACATGGTATCAGAGCCTCCGCATTAAGATCCTGACGATTTCCATAAGCTTCCGCATTATCTTCTTCTCCAATCTATAATTCATCATGCCTACTTCAGATCAAAATTCACAGAATTATGAATTCCTGAATGATCCGCTTTATCTTTCTCCATCAGATCAACCTAATTTGATCTTGATCAGTACGAAGTTGACAGATCAAAACTACATCTACTGGAAACGTGAAGCCTATCTCGCGCTAATCTCAAAAAACAAAGATGGCTTTGTTGATGGAACTGTTGCTAAACCTGACAAAAAGGACAGAACATATCATCAGTGGATAAGATGCGACATTATTGTTACAAGCTGGCTGAAGAACTCGATTGAACAAAATATCAAAGATACTGTCAATTACATCTCTTCTGCAAGAGATCTCTGGAAAGAGCTACAGGAAAGGTATGGTCAAACAAATGCTCTTGAAATATATCAACTCAGAAAAGATTTAAGCTCCATTTCTCAAGAAAATAAACCATTGATTGAATATTATGGCCAAATGAAACGAACTTGGGAAAGTATTGATACTTTAGATCCTATTCCTTTGTGTACTTGTGGTGCGTTGGACAACTGCACATGTTCATTGTTGAAAAGGCTTCTTGAAAGGGAAAACAATGGTAAACTCATACAAATGCTGATGGGACTTAATAGTGGATATGAGAATGTTAAAACAAATGTTCTATCCATGGATCCTCTACCTCTTGTCAACAAGGCCTTAGGTCTATTACAAAAAATTGAACGCCAAAAACAGATTTCTGATGCTGTGGATGTTTTATCAGAAGCAAATGCCTATGCGGCTAAACAATCTGACTATAGGCAAAATGATTGGAAGAAACCTAGATACAATGCTGAAATTGAGTTAAAAGGTTCCAAACAATGCTCCTATTGTCATCAAAAAGGACACATTCAAGAGGATTGCTATAAACTTCAAGATTGCTCATATTGTGGCAAACGAGGACATGTCAAAGATATCTGCTATACTTACAAAAGACATCAAGAAAATAACCTAATTTTTGGCCAAGGTTATAGGCCTGGCAAAACCAATAACAATCAAAGGAACTCTGGTTTTAGAAGAGCTGCAAATGCTGATGTTTTACAGTATGAAGAAGAAGAAGAACTTACTCCACTTGAAGAAACTTCTGATTTCATGGAAGAAAGAATTACACGTCAGAAAAGTTTTACCTCTTCTGATGATATACATCATCATGATTTGGATCCACAAATGATGAAAGGTATTGTCAACAATGTTGTTCAGCAAGTCCTCAAGGCTATGACAGATCAGAATTCTTCAATCACCAAATTCCCTACTACAGCCTCTACTTCCTCAGCAAATTT